ATAATTTTTGTGAAGATTTCTGAGTTACGAAAGCAATTTTACTAGGAACACAAATTATAAATTCCAAAGGAAAGTCTGTGCTACTGTTTTGTACAATGCTGTAATCCTACCACTTAATGAACGCATTGCATTCCAGGATTGTGCTGGGTGCTATATATGAGTCATCTAATTTAAAACTTTCACAAATACTATGAAACTATATTATCATCACACACGAAAAAAACTGACGGTCCAATTTTTTAAGAAAATTGTCCAAGCTACATGAATAACAGGATGAGAGCTTATGCATATGACCAAAAGATTTTCTCTCTACTATAACAAGTAGGCTTCAAACCTATGAGAAAGCTTTATTATTTCTTCCCAATGTTTTCTCTAAAATTTTCATAATAGGTTCCTGAATTTTTTTATTTCTCTTGAGCATTTTAATAAATATGATAGTTGAGAGGCATTCAACAAGGACATCATTGCTATGTTGCTCCTCTAATTTTCTGCTCTTGCCACGTTCGTTCAATGTCGCTCACAAAATATTTATTAAAATTCTTTTAAAATCATTATTAGATGTGCTACACTGTTAAGAGAAATTAGCTTCAGAATAAACCTCACCACAAATAAAACGTGTACATTCTAAAAGAAATTTCTATGAGCATTGGATATCATGTGTGCACAGCAAGAGCAATACAATCTCATTTTTTTTTTTTTTGGCGAGTTCTAAAATATATCCTAAAAATATTTTTCAGAACATAGTAACTGTCCCCAAAAAGAACATTAATATGGAGGAAAATAAGGAAAGTCACATCACTTTTAAAGTAAAGGTTAAAAGGGAAGGGTCATGGAAACCACATAAAGTTTAAGAAATGTTAGAGGTCCCAGTTAGGAGGAATACTAGCAGGAAAGCCTTCTCTATCTCACCTGGCCTGAAGCAAGGGGAAAAAGGGAACTATTGCCCTATAGGAAAAAAAAAATTCTACTTCTAGTATTATATACATATATTTTTATTTGTTTGTTTGTTTGTTTGTTTGTTGAGACTGAGTCTCGCTCTGTCACCCAGGCTGGAGTGCAGTAGTGCAATCTCAGCTCACTGCAGCCCCGCCTCCCAGGTTCAAGCGATTCTCCTGCCTCAGCCTCCTGAGTATCTGAGACTACAGGCACACACCACTGCATCCTGCTAATTTTTGTATTTTTAGTAGAGATAGGGTTTCACTGTATTGGCCAGGCTGGTCTTTAACTCGTGACCTTGTGATCCGCCTGCCTTGGCCTCCCAAAGTGCTGGGATTACAGGTGTGAGCCACCGCACCTGGTCCACTTCTAGCACTCTTCAAGATAGTCCCAGGAGCCACAGTAGGATTCAAGTCGTGATCAGAAACAGAAGATGTTCAAGCCTCGCATTGTGGGGAGTTAGTAATGCTGTCAGTTGCCACATGGACAATTTGAATGCTCCTGAAACCATTTTGGGAGGGAATATGAAGGAGATGGGGTTTTAGGAGTAAGTGGGGAATACTACATGATAGAAAATATAAAGGTTTTCACTGAGATACAAATTCCTTAAATTTTACTCAGTGGGTGAGTTGTGGAAAACACGTGATAAGCTCTCTCTTTCATCAGTATGAAAGTGATTATAAAGAGTTCTCAACTGACTAGACCTCTGGTATATTTTCCTAAAAAGACGGCTCTAATAAATTAATTTCCAGTAAAGAAATATTGGGACTGTTGAACTATATATGTATGAGAGATTGACAACCTTTGTATGCTATAATCTCTTAAACTCATTGAACTCCAGTGAGTATTTTCCAAATGTTAATACTTTAAGTTATCAATAGTTTCAATATTCAGGAGATTACTCTTCAGAAACAGCTTAGCTGTTGATTGGAAAATGTTTTTCTTCACTATTACACTTCAAAACAGACAACAAAGGGAAAAGCTGCACCTTTCTCTAAGATTTGGTTCTCATATATTGCAGGTTCTACCCTTGAGGTTATGGTAAACAAGCTGTGGGCACAGTCCAGGATACAAAGATTTTTAAAATTCATTAAAATAGAATAAGGCATCACACACAGTGATGAAAGAACTAAACCAGGAGAAAGAATCATTGCCAAGATAGGAGTGTTGCATCTGAGTTTCAGGATATTAATAACAAACATTTTTGAGTAGATGCTGGGTGACATGCTAATCTCTATTTTTAATATTAAAATTTATATCATAAAATATTTTGAACTTATAGAATAAGAGATGCACAGAATCTCTTGTTCACTTTGAACTTATAGAATAAGAGACGCACAGAATAAGAGATGGGACAGACCACAGAAATTTAAGATGCTAAACTTGTCAGTTTTGCTTAACAGCCATCACTTTTAAAGACATAAAACATTATTCAGCTAAAGCCCACTCCTCATCCCATCTTTTTCCTTTCCTCCTAATTCTAAATATCCTGATTTTTCATGCTATCATTCAAGTCCTATTTTGTTTTTTACTATACCAACATTCATGCAATTTGCATTTTCACCAAATATTAATATTTTGATATTTACCCATAATGATACATGTGGACCTGGCTGATTCATGTTAGCTTCTACACTGCGCTTCACCATAGGAGTAAATCTCAGTTGATCCACTCCAGGTTTTAAGCATTCAAAGAGTGCTTTACTGATCAAAGTTGTGCATAACTCCTGTGAACATGTGCAAATTTCTCTAAGTCCATTCCTTGAAATGGAATTTCTGGGTCATAAATTATGTACCCTCCAACTTTACTAGGCATTGCTAAAATTATTTCCAAAATGATTGTATCAATTTATACATCTGCCAGAAATATAAGTCCTCTGCTCATTTTTTTTTTCTTATTGATTTTTAAGTATTCTTTTGGAAGTCATTTCAATGTAAATATATTCCTCCAATTTACAACTTGAAATTTCACTTTGTTAATAGTGACTTTTGCCATAAAAATACCTTAATAATAATGTGGAAATTTTTATCAGCATTTTCCTTCTAAGTTTGTGCTTTTTGTCTTAAAATGGAGTTCTTGACACCAATGTGGTGAATACATTTCTTCATTTTCTTGTGTTTAAAAATTTCCTCTTCACATTTAGATCTTCAAACCATCTGGAATATATTTTTGTGTATACTGTTATGGAATCTCACTTTATCTTTTAACAGTTGGTCTTTTTTTTTTTTTTTCTGGAAGTTCATTTTGCCACCAATGACTTTTTAAAACTACCTCTGTCATACACTGTGACAGAAGTGGACTTGTTTCTAGGATCACAGTTTTGCTCTATTGGTCTGCCTATCCTTGTTTGTTGATATCATACACTTAAATTGCTAGAGCTTTATAATAAGTCTTGGTGTCTGCAGGATGAGTCCCTCCTAACAACTGTTTTTCTGAATTGATTTGGCTTTTCTTGCTCTTAATTCCACCATGCAAATTTGAGGATTAGCTATATCTCCCATTAATGTCTCTTTTCTAAATATTTGTTTCTTAATAATTTGTTGGTGGTGAAATGAAGCTATTGATTTTTTGGTTTTGTGGTTGGTTTGCCAAATCTTTTATTATTCCATCGTTGATCAACACAAATGTTATTAGGAAAGAGGGGAGGGGAGCTGTGTGAAAAAAATCATGTGACTTCATTTAAAGTTGTATTGCTTTTCCAAATTAATTTGATGAGGTTGAGAAGTTATAATAAAGCCTTCCCAACCATGAGCATATCAATCTCCACTTATAGTTCTTCTATGTCCTTTAATAAAGATTAATAATTTTTCCATAAAGATCTTACACATTTTTGCTAGATTAATCCCTGGATCATTTTTGAACTACTTCTTGCATTTGGTCTTCTGAGCCACTAGTGTGTACTCTCCTTTAATGCGCCTATTTTGTCAAAAAATCAAGTTTTTAAGAGTTGTGTATGTGAGTGTGTTGCATTCAGATCCCTTTAAGTACTTTTTGTTGTTGTTCGCTTGTTCATCTGTTTCCTCCAGCAATTATTACACTGAACATGGTTCCTAATCGTTAACCTGATCCTTCTTTCTCTGGTTGCTAGAGTCCCTTGACTGTACAATTACCTTTCTCACAGATAAACTGGGAAATTCCACAGGTGCTGAATGGAAAAGATGTTTGTTTAAAAGAGAAAACGTGTTCCTCCTGACACATCTTCGAGACTCTTTTTCTGCTCAAGCCCTTCTCCCCACCTTAAAACTAGGAAACAATCCATCCAATCCTGCCTTTTGTGGACAGGAAGACCAGACCCTTCATGCCAGTTTGAGATCCTCAGAGGTTGAAATGCCAAGCTCTTTCAGGGATTCTCTGGCCTTTGCTCCTGAGCTCTTTTGATTCCTCCACCCCTAAAGGAAGAAGCTCAATTCTCTCCACAGGACTCAGTGGCTGGCTCTAGAGCCGAGGGCAAGTGGCTTGGAACTAGGAATGTAAGCCATTATGGTCCCCAAATCCACCATTGGTTTATTTTCTATTTGTTTCTTAATAATTCGTTGGTGGTGAAAATAAATGCTATCAATTGAAGAATTTTGGGTTTGCTTGTTTTCAGCAGCTTTGTGGTTGGTTGGCCAAATCTTTAATACAGTATTCCACTCTTGTTCAAAGCATAAATACTACTTTTGGGAGAGAACAGGTGATCCTGTAGATTCCCAAAGAAAAGGCAAAAAGGCAAAATATGGCCAACATTATCCATTTGCTTTTCAAATTTACTGAGTGAATATACACATTTGATTTAAATCATTTGTTACTGCGGGTTGTTTGGTTTTCAATACTGGGAACACAGAGATTCAGTTTGAAAGATATCTCGAAATCTTAGGAGTAGCATACAACAATCCCTCCCATTCGCCACCCAAAATCTAGTTGGTTTAAATGAGCAGAATGATCCATTTTTCCATTTTAGGTGAGCAGATGTTTATGCAAGATCTTAGAACTGTTTGCCTCATTTATCGGGAAAAATTACAAGGGAAGAAGCCATTAATCGAGTTTCTACTTGTAAATATAAGAAGACTAGCACTCAGGTTCATAGACTTTTAACATGAGCTTGTTGAAAGAAACGTTAACAACTCCAAAACTATATGAATTTTAAGATTTTTCTCCGAAAAGCATAAAAATGGAGAAGATTTTAACAGGAAATTTTTAAAACGTAAAAACAACTCTTCCTTGGGTAGTTACTAGTCCTTGGGTAGTTATCGTAACAGGTTCTTCTTTTTGTTAGTTTCTTTGAAAACGGACTTTTGGTTCCAAGTCTGTTCCTGCTTAGTATCTGCTCCGGCCTGCCCCTCTCTCCAAGCGGCCTCCTAGACGGCCTCCGCCCCTGGGCACCCTGCGGCCCGACCGGCTGTAAGAATCACGCTGGGGAGGGCAGCCCCTTTCCATGGACAGAGGGAGCCCACGATCCGGTCTGCCCACCCGGTCTCGGCCCCGCGAGTAGCGGTCGCTCCGGCTGTAACTGCTGCTGTAACTGTCGCGGCCGCCGCTGTAGGCGTCGGGCGAGCAGCCCCGGTACTCCTCGTAGCGGCCTCCTCCTCCGTAAGATGGCGGGGTTCCCCGCCCCGGGGCGGCACCGCGCAGGTCTCCGTAGCTCTCGAAGGGCTCTCGGTAGGAGCCTCCGCTCAGATGATCCCCGTAGTCACGCTCGCGACCCCCGTAGCCGTCTCGGTCTCCGTAGCCTCTCAAGGGACAGTCGTCCCGCACACTGGAGTGGCCGTAATTGCGGTGACTGTACTCTCGGGGCGAGGGGGCAAAACCCCGGGGGTCGCGGTAGTCTCGGCTCGAGTAGCCGTCTCTGGACGAGTAGCCCTCCTCCCGCGGGCCCAGGTATGGGGCGCGGCGCGGGGGCGGCGGTTCCCGGCGCGGCGGGCCTGAGTAGCCATCTCGCCCCCGCGCGGCCGGGGCTCTCCCGCGCATTCCACCGCCGCCGCTGCGAGCCAGGCTCGAAGGCGCGGCCCTCTTGGGCGGTGGGCCGGCCCTGCGCGGCGGCGGCGGTGGCCCGCGCTTCATGGGCATCGGGGCCCTGGAGGGCCGCAGGTCGAAATCCCCCGGGTAGTCGCCGTCGTCATCGGGCCCGCCCCGGGAGGGGGGTCCCCGCGGGCCGCCGCCACCCCCATGGGTCCCGCGCAGGAACCTCGGCCGACCGCGGCTGCGAGGGGGCGGCGGGCCCCGCCGGCTGCTCTCGAATGCCGGCTTGGTGGCCTGGGCCACCTTGATGGCCTTACCATCCAGGGACTTGCCGTTCATGTCTCTGGCGGCGGCCTTGGCATCTGCGGGGCTTTCGAAGGTGACGAACGCGAAGCCCCTCGACTTGTTGGTTTCTCGGTCTTTCATCAGGAGCACCTCGACGATGCGGCCATACTTGCCAAACTCAGCCTCGAGGGCTTTCTCGTCGGTTTCGAGGTTGAGGCCCCCAATAAACAGCTTTCCTGGGCGATCCGCTTCAACCATGGCTGCGGGTCAAACGGTTGGTCAGTGGTGGCGGGAGGCGATGAGGCGGCGCCAGTCGCGGCGTTCGGGCACGCTCGTTGCGGGTGGCTCCTACCGGTCGGGCGGCGCGTAGTAGCAGACTCTCCGGAACCTCAGCCTCAGTCCCGCTCCCAGGCGCGCCCCGCCTGCCTGTGATTGGTCGGCTGGGCAGGTTCGCCGTCGGGAAGGTTGGCAGTTTTGTCTTTCCCTTTAGTCTTGAACTTCCTGTTCCCCTGACCCGGGCTTAACGGTTTTAATGGCTTTCTGAAAGCTCTTTGGCTCAGGGAAAAGCCGTTAGGTGGAAAAAAACTTTTTCTAATACCTTGTATGAGAAGAATGATAATGATCCCAACCTAAGTTACCCAAACTATTTTTAAACAGAAAAAAAAAAAGTATGAAATTTTTAAATTACTACGGTTATTAAGTTAAAAAATCATTTTTCAATTATTGAAAAATAGAGTAACAATTTACAAGTTTAAAAATGAAGTTTGTACATAAAATTAATATAAAATTTTTGTGCACTTGCTAAAGGGGAAGAGAAGACTATAGTGGGAGCTGGTTGGTGGAGGCCAAAGGAGAGAGTCTTTTTGGATGCACCATTTTTTTCCCTTCTGCTCTCCTTTCTTCAGTTTTTCAACCTTCAACATATTGTATTCAAACTGCCTTTTTAAAAAAGGATATAGCACAGAAAGTCAGCTTTAGGCAAAACATGAAAGCATTTGGACAGTTATCAAAGTACCCCCTGAGCAAGCATAACAAGCAAGCCTTTACTCCTTCACCCCAGCATGCTTTCTTGGAAAGAAGTAGTACACTTTGGCATAGCACAACTTTCTGGGTTCATTCAAGCAAATTACATAATTCAAGTTTGTTCCATACGATATTCTCTGAATAGAGAAGTAAGCATGAAAAGTAAATTGATGAGCATATCTTTGCTTGAAATAGTAATATCTAAAACCCATTTTTCTTTACCGTATTGATTTAATGTGGTTAGGGGCTATTTATTCAAAAATGGTATACATTTTTCAAAGGCTGTTATGATGAAAAGTTAACACAGTCATGAGAAGTCTATATACACATATATATTATATTGGTTTATTGCAGTAGGTGTATAAATTTGAAAGAGTTTGTGAAGGCAGGCATTTTAATGATATTTCTGACTTTAGTGGGAACAATTTTAAAGTTTTAGAATTTTTTTTAGCATGCCAGAATGGAAGTTAAATGCATCACATTAGTTCATGTGATGAAATATAGCAATAGATTTTTATTGTTAAAACATTGCATTTCCAAGGAATGTATTCATTTTCTAAAAATTGATAAATTTTGTTTGCTCATACTTTATTTAGAAACACCATCTGGGCTTGTGTTTTAAGTATATTTTAACTAACTAGTGATTCAATTTCTTTTAGTTTTGAGTCTATCCAGATTTTTAAGAATTTTCTCTTGACTTTTTTTTCAAGATATACATTCCTAAGAATGCATTTATTTTGTTTATATTTTCAAATTTATTTTATCTGTGCCTTGTTTTGTTTTCTCTTTTGTGACTAGTCTTGCTAGAAGTTTTATTTTTTCTTTAACTTGCTAATCTTTTTAAAATAATCTTATTTGGTGCTATTGTCTTTATTTTCTTCTTTCTACATTTATTGGATTTGTAGTTTAAATCATTTTTTTCTAATTTTTTACATAAGGCACTTAGCACATTAAGGGTTTAAAAAATGTTTCTTCTAATTGTTATATTTAAGTTTAAAATTTATTGTCTATGTACTGGTTAATATCATGCCTTGAGCTGTAATACATGTTGTTTTCATTGTTGTTCAGTTCCTAAGATTTTCTTATTTTTATTATTTATTTTTTGGCTCATAAATTATAAAGAGGTATGTTTGTAAATTTTCAAACATATGTGCCTTTTGGTTATTTTTTAATATGCTCTGTACGAGATCCTTTGTTTTTCGTTGAGACTTGCTTTGTGACCTAAATATGGTGTAATTAATGTTCCATATATACTGAGCAGAAACTGTATTCTCTAAATGTTGGATGATGTTCTTTCTTATTTTGTAATATTTAAATCTTCCCCTTTCTAACTGATTTTTTATTTGATAGAATTGGCAAACACTAGAATGCTCTTAAAATTTCCCATAATTGTGGATTTGTAAATTTCTCTTTGTGTTTATGTCTGGATTTTGCTTCATGTAATTTAAGGTAATATGGTGAGATATATAAAAAATGAAAATTGCTATGTATTTCTGGTAAATACGTTTTTTATGTAATGATCCTCATTATTCATAAAAACCTTTTACCTTAGTCTGTTTTGTGTGATGCTTATATCTTTCACCACTTTTGCAATTTCTTCCTAAATCTTTGCTATCAACCATGCCTTTCTTTCTTCTTTTTTTCATCCTTCTTCCCTTTTTCTGTAATAATTTGTCTTTCTTTTTCCTCTACTATGAAGAAGTTATGCCTTCTATTTGTATTTTTTTGAATGACTGCCCTTAATGTTTTTATTGAATGCTAACTTAAAAATGCTAAGTTTATAAATTTATTCATAAAATCAAGTTTACTGCCTATATTTTACATCTGTGTATATCCATGTAACGATGATCTACATCAAAATCTATAACATTTCCATCACTCCAGAGGGTTCAGTTGTGCCATTTATTAATGAAACCTACCTGAAATCTGCTCTCCTGGCACAATAAGACCAGATATGCACACTGAGGTTTGCAGCAGGAAAAAGGAGGGGATTTATTTGCAGAGCTCCAAGCAAGGAAGACCAGGCAGCTACTCTTAAATTCTGACCTCTTAATGGCTTGCAGATAAAGGTTTTTTAAAGGAAAATGTAAATTTCAGGAAAGCAGAAGTTACAGGCAAAATCATAAGTCAATACATGGAGGCTACACATTGGTATTGGCCCAAAAGGAAGAAATCTCTTGAAGTGGGGATCTCCCAGGTCAGAGGTAGATTCAAAGATTTTCTGATTTGCAGTTGGTGAAGGAAGAGAATTTGCAGTCAGCAGAAAGGAATGAGCTTTGGCTCCTGAGTGGGATTCCCTCCAGGCCCCTCAGGAAGAAATTTAGAACAAAGAAGGGTTGCCAGAGTTTAGTCCCCAGTCCCTGTTATCTGAGGTCTACCTAGCCATGGAATTTTTTGGTGGGATCTGGATTTCTGAAAGACAACTCAGGGACATATGTTAAGATGTTATATTTAGTGTCTATAGGGGAACAAAAAAATCTCCTGACTCTAACTTCCATAGTTATTGTTTTAAGTTCCTATTACTTTCTTGCTTATCAAGTTCCTTATTCATTTAAGAAATTTGATGAAGTTCCTTAACTTTATTTCTCAGGGCTAGCTAGATGCCTGGAATTTCTCTTACAAGAACTCTAGGTTTTCCTTTATTTCCATATTTGTGGGAGAGGGGTTGCAGAGGCCCCTAAAACAGGGTATCTGTTCTACAAAAAATGATATAGAATCAAGATCAAAGTTTGGGCAAAAATTGGAATGCTTGCATAGGCTTTATGTGAAATGATTGTGTCTCTTTTACCTGAAGATATTTTGAATGTATTTTGGGAATGGATATTGTGTCTGACTGGGGAATGTTTCCCTACCTAGTACTATAAAACACAAGGTATATAAATTCCACCTTTAAGCAATAGTACTTATATTTGCTAAATAGAAAGGAATAAGTTTGTACAAGCCCACACAGCGTAGAATAAAACTTGAAGTACTAGAAAGGACAAATTACCTGTTCAGTGGACCTGCGCAGAGGGTAGATTGGGGCTTGCGGCAAAAGCCTGGGAGGCCTCCCAGCAACAACTACAGAGACTTTGAAGTAGAGAATTTACATCTGAGGCAATTACTAGCTCGATCTTGGACATTAATTGAACCCACCCCGTGACTGAGGAAAATGTAATAATCTTATTATCTTATATCAATTAGGATAGTTATTGTCGAAAGCACAAAAAGAGTAAGTGTTGGTGATGATGTGGAGAAATTGGAACCCCTGTGTACTGGTGGTGGGAATATAAAATGGTATAGCCACTACTAAAAACAGTATGACAGTTCCTAAAAAATTAGGAATAGAATTACCATAGGATTCAACAACGCTACTTAAAGATATTTAACCAAAAGATTTGAAAACAGGTTCTTAGATATTTGGACACCCACACTCATAGCAACAGTATTCAAAATAGCCAAGAAGTGGGAATAATGCAAGTGTCCATTGGACAGATAATTTTAAAATGTAGCATAGTCAGCCCTCCATATCTGTGGGTTCCACATCCATGGATTGAGCCACCTGAGGATCAAAAATATTTCACAAAACACTGTGTATGTACTGAACATGTACAGACTTCATTTTCTTGTCACTATAAACAATATAAACAATACCTTATAAAAACTATTTCTGTAGCATCCACGTTGTATTAGGTATTATTAGTAGTCTAAAGATGATTTAAAGTATATGGGGAGATATGTACAGGTTATATGCAAATACTACATCATTTAAATCAGGGATTTAGCATCCCTGGTATTCTTGGTGGTCCTGGAACCAATTCATCATAAATACCAAGAAACTATTCTATATACACACAATGAAATATTATTTAGCTTTAAGGAAGGAAATTCTGACATAGACTACAACATGGATGAACCTTAAGGACATTATGCTAAGTGAAATAAATCAGACACAAAAAGACAAATACTGTATGATTTTACTTATATGAGGTATTATCTAGTTAAACTCATAGAGACAGAAAGTAGAACATCATTGCCAGGGACTAGAGGGAGGGGAAAATGAAGAGCTGCTGTTTAATGAGTATAGAGTTTCAGTTTTGCAAGATGAAAAAGTTCTGGGGATTGGTTGCACAACAATATGAAAACACTTAACACTATTAAACTGGTTAAGATGGCGAACACAATGCTTTATGTATTTTTCCACAGTAAATATGAATACACCTAACACTACCAAACTGATTAAGATGGTGAACACAATGTTATATGTATTTTACCACAGATTAAATTTTATTTAAATATAGGGTTTTTCCCACACCAACCAATTCCCCAACTCCTGGACACCAA